TCCATATGGATTTTCATTTCTGCTGTTTGTGTCTATTGCACAAGATTTGCAAGTCAAAAATAAATAAATAAGTCAAAACGGGGCAGACAGCAGCTGCGCCAATTTGAGCCAAGGCTAGATATTGGGGAATTTACAGCTTCAGTTCACAATATATACATATGCCTATCTAAACACCATCTGCATATCTCGTATATGTATGATAAACGAATCAACATTAACAATAACTCTCATCCAATATTCATAATTTTTGAGCTGGCATCATTTGCAAATTAGCTAAATCACATTTTAGGGCGAGGCCTACCCACAGCTCGAGCTCGCCGAAATTCCCAAAGAAACTGTGAATGGAGGTGTAATTGTAATTTTAATCATTTTTTAGTACAAACTCTTCCTCTCTCACTCTTGCACTCGCCCGCTCTCTCACACCATGTTACCACAATATTACGAGGCCTCTGAATCTGTCAGTAAATATATGTATTTTCTTTCTCTATTTGTGTCGGTCTCACAAAAGCTAACCTATCCTTCTAACCTTTTCCCTCCTCTCTCTCTCTCTCTCTCTCTCTCTCTCTCTCTCTCTATCTATCTATCTCTATCTCTGTCTCATTGAGCAAAGCGTTCAGGAAGTATGGCAGCTCAGGCTATTCCTCCCTAGCTGAATATTTATTCGCTTAACAACACAAACTGTACCTTTCTCGCTCTATCCCCCTGGATTAACAGCTAAGGATGTGTCTTTAACATTTCACATAACATTGTATTTCTTATTACTACGTTCCATTTCCCTATTCTGTTTTTTTCTACCACACGTTTTAAAGGCCTAATTAAATTAGGTTATTTGAAGTAGCTTTAAATCAATTAACACAATCCAACGGCTTTGCATATTTTAGGCGCTGCATTCAAATATTTATTTCCAGCTACGCTGCAAAGCATATACACATACACACACATACGTCTGCACTTGGTTTGCTTCACTTTGCTTTGCTATACGCGGCCAATAAAACCGTTATAAACGAACACACAGAGGCACACGCACACACGCGTAACGTTAATGCGGTAATTTTCTCGTCAACGTCGACACTTCGATTACGTCGTCTTCTCAAAGTACTTTGACTGATAAACAGCAATAACAACAACAATAACATAAGCAAACGCAAAAAACCAACAACTCTAAACGAAGCGTAGCTAAAAGCTGGGATGCGCGCTAAGAAAAGAAGCCGGAAGGCAAAAAAAATAAAATAAAACGGAGATACCGCAAAGTTGTTGCCATTTTAATTTCTCATTTTCATATCGCACATTAAATGTTATGTATATTCGTATACATATATTCATTTGTTTGTATGTTTGTGCAAATGCAGCGGGCTTTGATAGCGAACGTAATAATCGGCACGAAACGCGAGATTTTGATCTTCGAAAAAAACGAACCGAAGACAATGTGCGCAATGGCAACAACAACGACACACACAAAAAAAAAAGTAAATAAACAAAAAATAAGGTATCTCACACACAATGAAGTGCAAAAATGCGAATTGAACAACACTTACACACACGCCTACAAATATGTACATATGTGTATCTCTCTGTGTTTGTGTGTGAGCACTCAAACGAAAATTGAATGCCCTTTTAATGACTATATTGCATATGCGCAAAACTTTCACTTGCCAAAATTATTGAAATTGGATATCTGCGGAATTTAGTCGATCATAATTGAGCTATTATAGAATCTTGTCGCTTTCAATTTAACATCCGGTTGCAAAAAGTGTTTGTTCATTATTAAACTGTTCCCGCCTAAGTATAGTATTTTTATTTAGTATTTAGTCGTCAAAGTGTGTATAATTTAAAGAGGTTGCATCAATTACTTAACATTTTGCATGAGAATCAAGAAACCTGTTACATTAACAATATTGTACCATATACACACATACATACATACGATTTTCAAGGTTGTGTCGCTAAAAAATTGTAAAACCGGCAACAAGAAAAAACTTGAAGATGCGCAAAATACAACAACAGCGGCAGCGTCCGCTTAGTGGGTCAAATTTGTATGCGTTGCGCCCTTTTTCAGTGTCTGTGTTGTGCCACGCCTTGAAGCTATTGCAAAAATGTACGTGTTTATAAAATGTGCAATACTTTTGCTATGATTTATGTTAAACAATTTGTAGCCGCGCTCAAATGCTTAACAAACATAAATCAAGCAGAGTAGGAGCAAGAGGGCCTTAGCCTAAAATATAAAGAAAAAAATATTTAATTCAGATCAACGACGGCATCAATGTCAAACCAATCGTCAGCCAGCGAGCGAGTCAGTTAGCTAGCTAACCAGCTAACCAAGCAGCGGTCACCTTCCTCATCTTCGTAATCGTTGCTGTTGACTGACCCTACCTAACAAAACGCACACTCATACATTTTTTGACTCGTGCATAATCGATTTACATAAAAGAGTTAAGTTTTCAACGCCAAATGTTAATTAGCTAATTAAGCTTATATAAGAGCTGTAATGGATATTTTAGGTTTACTAGGTACTCGAGATGTTTAAGTGACGTCACTCGCATAGGCTTACATGATCGCACTAGCAACAAGACCTTTGTATACAAAAATGACCTTGTTAGTGAGAGTGAGAGTGGGAGTGAGGTCAATAACTTACTGTTCTTCTGTCAGTGACGTCACGGTTCGTTTGGGTTTCCATATCATGTTAACAGTAGAGCCTATTCACGTTAAGTTTACTATGTATGTATGTTATAGACTGCTGTCGTCAATTGTGCAACCTATTTATATTAAATAAGTAATGTTACTATTAGCAGAAAGAGGGTCAATAACTTATTCTTGTCCTTCTTAGTCACGTCACACGCACGCGACACAGTACTAATGTTAACAGCGTAGACTATTTATGTTAAGTGATCTAAGATTAACAGACTAGTTTTCAAATACATTGATCTTTATTGATATATATTTATTTTTATTGCAGCCATCGTCTCGACCCGAATCCGACTTTACGCTCGACTTGCCGCGCGCCGAGCAGCTGCGCTTGAAAATGGAAAAGGAGAAGAAATTCCGCCAAAGATGTCGCCTGATAACAACATTTCTAAGTCTCGTATTCTTTCTGTTAACCGTTATGGTTGTCAGTTTGGTATTAACGCGCGGCAAACGCATGTTTGGCAGCATGATATAGTCTGTCGGCCCAATTTAACTGAGCATTAGCATAAACTACAAAAATATTGAAGTGCCGTAGTAATCGATAGATTTGCATTAAGCAGCTATACAAAACAAAATCGATAACAACTAATTTTTAGTATTTAGCCCTAGTTTACTCCTCACTATAATACACTACTATTAATTTTGGGGGGGTAACATGCAGTCGCAGTATTTGTTAATAAATTATTTTTGTGATCTTAGGCGTTAAGTGATTTTTTGTAAAAGTGCAGAAGGAACTTTATAAAATCGTCCATTATATATACATATATGTATGCTTATTGTATTAGATTTAAGTCTGAGCTAAACAAGTGTAAATTTGTGTATCAATAAATAAAGCAATATTAATGGAAAAAAGACTTATTTAATATTTTTCTAATACACACATTTATTTTTTAACGATTTTTTTTTGTAACTGTATATATAGATACAGATTTGTATATACTTCTTGCATATATGTATGTAGAATATTTTGTTTTTCGTTTATCGAACTCTTATATAAATAACTTTTGGTATCACAAAATTTGTTTTGTTTTTTTGAGAAAAATGCGACGAAGAAATCTTAAGGCAAACTTTAACTGGTAAGCATCTTGTTAGTAACTACGATACACTAAAAAACATGTTACAATTATAATTATAATAGATACTGCATGAGCAACTGAGAAGGCAAGTTGTATTTTCCTGTTTTTAATGAGAATCATTGTGATGGCTTTCATAATATGCGTATGTTCTGCCTATTAACTTCGAATAGTGTTTGATCCTCCTCCTCGTCGCTATTTACATCTTCGATAGCCATTGGGAGCGGCGTTAACTCCTGATTGGCTCGATCGCCTTGCACGCCGTATTTGCGCTCAGCACGAGATAAGCGTAGACTAGAAATGGAAAGATAACATTATCAATAAGAGTTTACATGAGGTTAAAGCGTAGCTTTTACATAAATTGAACTAATAAACTGATAACATATTAAAATATTAGTATACAATATTATATCTATATAACGGTAAACACAGATAAACTGTCATACTAGCGATGATAATTTAAGCTGACTTTTAGAGCTGTTAACTGAAGCTCGAACAGTATCGTATGCGTTGCCAGCTTTACAGTACCTGCCAGCTGATTGGGAGCCTCTTAATACGTACCGATAAATGCGTACGATCAGCAGCAATAGGGCAGAGCTTGTTATGCCCACTAGAATATAGAAGACAGCGACGTATGTATCGGGAAAATCATTGTTTGAACGTTCAATGTGCACATCCTCTTCGGGCAATTTGCCTGGAACGACAACTGTTCCTTGCTTCTGAGGATTTTCACTGATGACGACAACTTTATCTGTAGAGGATTCCGCAGTTGCGTGTGACACGCCCAATTCATGTGTCGCTGGCAATATGGAGACTGGTGCCTGATCCTTTTTAACGGTCCTTAGCAATCTAGTATTGGTATTAGAGTTACTTGATATTATTGCTGTTGTTGTTGGCGCTGATTTGAGAGCCTCCGGCGCCGCATCACTTTGGAGAAGCAACAACGTCAACAAGAAAGCCGCTGGCCATAGCTGCCAACATTGCACTGTGTACTCCATCTATTAGTATTCTTAATTTAATTTGCGTTGGGCAAGGATTAAAAACCAGCTCGCAAATATTTCTGACGTATACAAAATGTTGATGATCTGTTTTTATTTGATTTGCTTATTTATTTACACTAACTAGGGCTCCAGAAATTCGTATTAAAATATCGATAGGACTGGGGCTGCAAGATTGTCTATCGATTCACTTTCGCAGTGCAGCCAACTTTCTTGCTTACAGTGATGCCACAGTGCCTGCATGTACTTTGCAATGTTTAGCACAGTCTGGCAGCACGTAGCTTTTTTTTAGTTGGAAAAAGTGAATTGTACAAACGGTAAAAAATCGACAATTTAGTTAAATTAAAATTAAAAACATTGCAAATAAAAATTAATAATACAAGCGTAGCAATAAACAACTACTGAAAACAGGTAAATTAATCGAAATCGTTAGACTCAACATATTAGCAAATTGTGTGTGTGCCTGTGAAAATGGCGAACAAAAGATGAAGAAAAAGTACGTGTGTGTGCTGCAAAAGGGAAATCACGACGTCAATGATTAAACGACAGTGAAAAATGCTAGATTGCTAATTTTCCAAATCATTTGTGCTGAAAATTATATGAATAAACACTTGTGTTCAGACTGCTGTAATAAAACATGTTTTATTAGACCAATTATGCACATATTGTGTGAGTGTATGTGTAACTATATGTGCGTTCGTGCGTGTGTATGTTTACTTTAACAGGAAGTTAAAATATGCCTATTCACACTACACATGCAATACCACTTTTTCTTGCATACTAAAATGCATGCTTAGGTGTGTGCGTGTGTGTGTACGTGTGGATGCATGCGTATGTATGTGTTGCAAGGGTATTCAGTATTATTTTTGTTTACTGTTTTGTGTTATTTGTAAGTTTCGGAGTTGCCATATCGTATTACATTTTTTTTGTATCATGCTTTACTTTAAGCCCCAATATATGCATAAGCTCTCACACACACGAGCACTCTAGCCATATAACTGTATACTGTTATGCGCTATACCCTTTAAAATAAGTAGAACGGGTATTAAGCGCACACAACTAATGTGCTGAAAAACTTTTTGTAAGCAATTGCTTGGAAGTTAAAGTAAGGTTTGGATTTGTTAGTATATATTTACAGCTGTATATTTATTTTTGGTTTGTGAAGTTATATATGTATAAGTACATGCACAAATAAGAGAATGGCCTAATTACAGAGTAGAGCATAGCTGTTATGGGTTGATATGCAAAAGTAATTCTTCAATTGTGTTTTATTTTTTGTTTTAATTAAAAGTTCTTGGCCTACTTTAGTTAAATAATTTTCCGTTTATTTGCAGATTGATTTATATATATATATTTATATATAGACAGACATTTTATATCTCACCCATAAATTGTAAACACTTGATTTGCCAAAATTCCGACCAAAACACCCAAGACAAGATCAGCAGCCAAACGACGCAATCAGGACAGTCAATCCACGTCCCAGTCGCATGCGCCAGTTGTCATTCAACAGCAGCAGCAGCAGCAGCAACAACAGCAGCAACATCGACAACAGTTGGAAGGCAAACGAGATTTGCCATCGGCTGCCAAAATGAATCGATCGAGCAATTCTCAAACTACACAGCGTCTGGTCAATTTGGATGATATATGGAACGAGCTGGAAGGGGGCATACGGCAAATATTCGAGCATGAAAAATCGCTAACTCGCAAACAGTATATGCGTTTCTATACGCACGTCTACGACTATTGCACGAGCGTTAGCGCCGCGCCGAGTGGACGCAGCAGCGGCAAGGCTGGCGGTGCTCAGTTGGTGGGCAAGAAATTGTACGATCGCTTGGAGATCTTCCTGAAGAACTATTTGGAAGATCTGCTGACCACCTTTCAGTCGATTAGAGGCGAAGAGGTTCTACTGTCACGCTATACACGACAATGGAAATCATATCAGTTTTCCAGCACCGTCCTGGATGGCATTTGCAATTATCTCAATCGTAATTGGGTGAAGCGTGAGTGCGAGGAGGGCCAGAAGGGCATCTATAAGATCTATCGACTGGCTCTTGTCGCCTGGAAGGGTCATCTCTTCCAGGTGCTCAACGAGCCGGTGACCAAGGCGATACTCAAATCCATTGAGGAGGAACGAAATGGCAAGCTAATCAATCGTGCCCTCGTCCGGGATGTCATCGAGTGCTATGTGGAGTTGAGCTTCAATGAGGACGACAGCGATGGCACCGAACGCAAGTTATCGGTCTATAAAGACAACTTCGAAGCGAAGTTCATAGCCGATACGTACGCCTTCTACGAGAAGGAATCGGATGCGTTCCTATCCACCAACACGGTCACCGAATACATGAAACACGTCGAGAATCGTCTCGAAGAGGAGAAGCAACGTGTTCGCGGTCCCGAGTCAAAGAATGCTCTTTCCTACCTGCACGAGACAACGTCAGATATATTAAAATCCACATGTGAACAGGTGTGTGTCGCATAGTGTAAAATTTAAATATGAGCGTTCTAAATGAATCACTTGAATCCCAACCCCAAGGGTTTCACATGTTTCATATGCTCTAAGGAATTTATACTATTGTCCTAAATGCAGATCTATAGATCTACCTTGATATTGCTTAAACTAATAATGTTTTCCCCTTTATTATCTAGGTTCTGATTGATAAACATTTGAGATTATTCCACACCGAGTTCCAGAATCTATTGAATGCCGACAGAAATGATGACCTGAAACGAATGTATTCTCTGGTCTCGTTGTCGGCGAAAAATTTGGAGCAATTGAAGAAAATACTGGAAGATCACATATTGCAACAGGGCACAGAAGCTATTGAAAAGTGTTGCACGAGCGATGCGGCCAACGATCCGAAGACTTATGTACAAACCATACTCGATACACACAAAAAGTATAATGCGCTCGTCCTAACGGCATTTGACAATAACAACGGATTCGTGGCGTCGTTGGACAAGGCGTGCGGCAAATTCATTAACTCAAATGTGGTGACAAAGCCAAATAATGCTGGCAAATCGCCCGAGCTGTTGGCCAAGTATTGCGATCTATTGCTCAAGAAGTCATCGAAGAACCCTGAGGATAAGGAGCTAGAGGATAATCTAAATCAAGTGATGGTCGTCTTCAAATATATCGAGGATAAGGATGTCTTCCAGAAGTACTATTCAAATATGCTGGCAAAGCGGTTAGTCAGCCACTCGTCTGCATCGGACGATGCTGAGGCAATGATGATCTCCAAGCTGAAGCAGACATGCGGCTATGAATACACCGTGAAGCTGCAGCGCATGTTCCAGGACATTGGCTTGTCCAAAGACTTGAATGCCTATTTTAAGGAGTACCTGAAGACACAAAATATAACATCGGAAATCGACTTTGGCATCGAGGTGCTGTCCACCAACGCATGGCCCTTCACGCAAAATAACAACTTTCTATTGCCCTCGGAATTGGAGCGATCGGTGCAACAGTTTACCATATTCTATTCGGCACGACATTCGGGTCGCAAATTGAACTGGCTATATCACAAATGTAAGGGTGAACTGATAATGAATGTGAGTCGCAGCAATTCGGTCTATACTCTCCAAGTGAGCACGTTCCAAATGTCGGTGCTGTTGCAATTCAATGATCAGCTCAGCTTCACAGTGCAGCAGCTATGCGACAACACGCAATCTCAGCTGGAGAACTTGATACAGGTAGAGTATGATAGTTGACAGAAAGGAAGTGATTCGTGTATAATATGTATGTGTATTAATAACGTTTCTCTTTTTAGGTATTGCAAATACTCCTCAAGGCCAAACTGTTGACCTCAGCTTCCAGCGAAAATGGCTTGACACCCGACTCAACAGTCGAATTGTATTTGGATTATAAGAGCAAGAAGCGTCGCATCAATATCAATCATCCATTGAAGACTGAGTTGAAAGTGGAGCAGGAGACTGTCACCAAACACATTGAGGAGGATCGCAAACTTCTGATTCAAGCGGCGATCGTACGCATCATGAAAATGCGCAAACGTCTCAATCATACAAATCTTATATCGGAGGTACTAAACCAGCTGTCGACGCGATTTAAGCCGAATGTGCCCGTTATTAAGAAGTGCATTGATATACTGATTGAGAAGGAATATCTGGAACGCATGGAGGGAGCGAAAGACACCTATAGCTATCTAGCCTAAGCTCATCTTATATAGATTTATAACTATATATATATATGCGTTCCAAAATTATATATATATATTTTGCCAGCCCCACACTAGAAAAAGATATCCAAGTCGGAGATATCGATTAGAGAAGCCTGCCAATATTTTCCAAGATCTTTCTCCCCCTCCATAAATTTCACTCATCGATTTACGCATTTAGAATGCGTTGCATTTCACACTGAATATATAAAATCATTCTAAGACTTCTTGAATTTTGCGAATATGCCCTCCGCCCCACTTACCCCATATTTCTTTCAAGTGTGTAAAGGAAAAAAAAACAACATTTATAGAAATGTGCAAGCACAGAGAAAAAATTCATGTAGCTCTTCAATTCATTCAGCTATAAACATAATAATTAATGAGTTTTACTTTTAGTTCATTACATTTTTATAATTTCTTTCACACACTCATACATACATTAATGCATACATACATACATTTATAAATATATATTACGGAGAGACAAATGTTAAGTTCTACAATCGAAACGAAATATAAAAGTTGAAGCAGTTATTTAAACGATACGTTTAAAATCGGGCCCCCATCTCCTCCTGTTTTAGTGATATCGCAAAGTTTTTGGGTACCTATTGAACTGTTTTTTAATTTAATAACTCTTGTGTGTGTGTGTTTTTTTTTTAATTATATAAATCGGCAAATGCAACAAAACTTTTGACGATCGGAGCGTTGCAAATTAAATAAACAAAACATACTTAAATGTGTAAACATATTAAAAAATTCAATTATTCAGAAGGGAAAATATAATAATAAAAAAAAAAATATTAATCAAATAATATTAGAAATATATTAAAAAGTTTTAAGGCTTTAGAGCTTGAGATAGATGGCTTTGCCAGCCACAATGCACGTATTTTCCAAACTTGAAGCATCGATACACTCTGTGGACGTGGATCTGACACTCTTTATCAGACCCATGTCTAAATATAAGTATATTTCATACGTTTCAATGGCCAGTTAGACTGTATATAGTACATATATTTTTGATGTTCATGCTTCCATAGCTCATAGTTTATTATTCAAAACTATTTTAGGTACACGTCTATTCCTTAGACTAGTATTATAGGTAGGTTATGTTTATATGTTTCTTTGATTGTGGCATGCTTATAAAACTATTAACAATGGAGATCGTCAAAGCTTTTAAAGTAAAATCGTGTTTTGTTGCTTGAACAGCAACTAGTCATAGTCCGCATCCTTTTGCGTGGTTTAAAATTATACAGCCTTGCAGAGGCTGACACTTAAAAATATCCCCATTTGTGCCTTCATTTGGAAATGCTTCCTGCTAATCCTCGTCGTCTAGCGTCAACACCTTTGTCTGGAAACGCATTCGTTTCGTATTCTTCACAATGCCATTCGGGAGAAGATTGGTGCCTGGCTTCTCGCATGGCAGAGCGTTCCACAGTCGTTTAACACGCACCACAGCGACCGAATTGAAGTCATACTTCTCTTTGGGCGATGCGGGCGTTGAGGGCTGGGCATCAGTCACGGTGGAGGGCAGCTTACGTAGCTTGACCACAGCTTGTTTTAAGTTGGAGCAGCTGCTTCGACTGCTGACACTGATCTTATCCTCCTCCTCCTCGGCCGGCGCCTCCACATCCGAGTTGCCATTCACATCGGCCAAGGAGCAGCCGCGTTTCTGTCGATGCACATGTTTTGCTTTGGTTGCCTGGGAGCTAAAATGGAAAGGGATTTCGTTGTATTTAGGAATTGGAGCAGCCTCATTATCTCACCTCTCCTCAATTATTTTATATTCATTGATGGTGGGTGGGGCTGCGGCGCAGATCTTGCCGGGCTCCTCGGGATGACAGCCATAGTCCTCGCCCTTCAGCCAATTATCATAGCGCTCCGGTTGAAAGCGCCGGACAAATGTTTCCATTGATATTTTAACCATATCGCTACGACACTTACAGATGCTTGCCCTCTTGCCATACTCAATCCAGCGTTTGGAGGCAAAATTCGTGGACTCGGCACCATTGAAGCCATGATTAAAGCCAGCATGGTAACCAAAGGGAAATGTTATCATAATCTCCCCAGCTTCTTGAGTGATCTTATTATAGGGTATATTATGTTGGCGCAAGACTTTGGGACTGATCATGGTCATCTTATGGCGCAAATAGGCATTGCATTCCTGAAAGTTCTCCACGAAGGTTTCATTCGCCAACTTCTCCAAGCGTCTGCCGTAGCGCGGAGGTATTGCATACCAAGTTTTCGGTGCGCCAAAGTGCAAATAGTTGATCGAATATAGATCCATGTCCTCAGTGTGCCAGGCAAAGGAACTCTTCCACATGCCGAAATACAGATATGCCGTATTGACACCGTCGATTTCAATGCCATAATCTGTATTCACCAGATTCAATATGGTGTCCAATCTCCCGATGTTCCACACATCCAAATCTTCATCGCTCAATGTGCCCTTCACATCGGCTGCGTATAGCGGTGATATATATGTGATATTCTTCCAGTACTTGCGCTCTAGATCATCGTAGTCGAAGTGCTTTGGTGTTTGGTGTAGCTCCGAGTTGGCCTTCTCCATGAACTGTCTAAGCGTCATCTGGCGACGCTGTTGTATATTTATTTGCTGATAAAGTCCGTGAGCCCTACAAACAACACAAGTAAGTTGAAGAACTTTATGCCTCACGCTGTCCAGGCTCACTCACCCTGTTACCACCTGGCAAATTGGGGCAGGTATTGTCATATTTATATTCTCAATATCATAGCCTGAGCGACGCGGCTTCCACTCCACGGGCGGAATTATTTTGACCAAGCCAGCCTTATGTGCTCCACGTGATTCCATGTAATCGATGTACTCGGCGAAATTGACAAACTCCTCGTAGCTGGGACGGAAGGTCATGATGCGGGGCACATTATTTGTGCCGGCATCATCATCGCCAAACGATAAACGGGTCGACATTTTTTACAAAATGTAACACAAAACAAAATAATAAAACAGTGTTTGGCAATGCCTGTTGAAACTTCTTGCTAGCGAGTGCTGGATAATGTGTGCGGAGTCTTGACAGAGCTGTCATAAGAATGGCGCAAATTCAAATATACAAAAAACATGAGACTTTTAATATACAAAATTTTAGTTGAAGGGTTATATTTATATGTACTATAATGTTTAAAGTAATGTTCATTTGAACCGATCTTACGCACTTTGTGTCACTTACGCGCTTAGGCGTCATGAAGAGTCAGCCAAACGAAATAAAAGAGAAAACGAAAAGAAAATGGAGGCAGAGTGAGTGTATTGAACTTTCATCAAATCGTAGTGCTGGATAGCGCGTGTGCATCAGGTGTGTTGTTAAACTACTCAAGTAAATGGCGCGTTTCGAACAGCGAATTCAAATGGGGGACTCTCCAGATTATGGATATTTACATACTTAGTTGTTGTATTCATTTAAAAACATTTTAATGCAGTTATTTATCGGTATGAGATAAAACAATAAATGCGTTGCACTTCTTTTGTTGTGTTTTTTAGTTTACTCGGAATTTTTCTAGGTGTTAAGGTTTAGGTTTAATGACAGATTTCTGCGGAAATTTAAATTACTAAATTACACACTTCCAGCAGGGAATCCAGCTTAAATTTGATTTAGATAAGATAAAACATTACTACAAATACTTAAAATATGAGCTGCAGTAAAAATAATAAAAAATAATTTATAAGCGAATTAGCGGATAAAACATAAATTAATAATAAGGACATAAAACGTGTTTATGTCAATGCTTATATCTTTGACACATAATAAACCACAGTAATATATTTAAATTGCAATTAGTAATAAGATAAATCGCAATTATTTGTGTGTCTGCTTTATGATTTAATAGTCAAGATAATGACTAAAGTTAAACACGGACCCAGCTGCTATCTCAAATCGGGCATTCACAGATAATCAGAGTGAAAATGAATTCTTGGCGGCCGTATAAAAGGCACAGGTGAAGCCAATTCATGTTTCAGTCGAACAGAAGCGACGTGAAGTTCTAGTAAAGTATTTTTCTGAGAACATGAGCTACGAACCTACGACGAACAAGTGCACAAAGCGTAAGTTGAATTTTGTCAATGAAATGTCATTAAAAAGGGATTCAAATTGAAAGGCAAATCTTTAACTAATCTTCTATTGATTAGATAAAGTGTAAAATGTGTTTCATATAAGAAGAAAAAAAAAACAGCAATGCATAAGAAAACACCAGTTCATTGAGCACTCTTAGAAAACAAAATCAGTTTGTAATCAGCTGGAAGAGGTTATTGATTCGCGCTGCTGTCTGAAGAACTTGAGTTCGTCTAGTCATAACTGAACGTAATGCGGAACGATTCCTACGTATCAATCTCTTTTATTTGTTTTTATTTATTATAATGCTCGACCAGAAGATACCGTTTATTTACTAATCAGATGCCATTTTATACAATTGAACTGATCGATTTTAATCAATATCGTGACGAAATTAAAGCCTGATTACTATTCAATTTTGTAGTCATTTGCTTCAGTTCTTATACAGATGAGCGGACATCTGTCGATCTTAAGATCATCCTCTTTAACTCTTAGACCCACACTCTTAAGCTCTTATACGCTCATACCCTTAAACTTTCATACTATTATGCTGGTTTATAAAAATGTATGTATATAACTTCAAAGGCTCGTACATTTCGTCTCGAAGAGCCAATTATATATATAGCCATGTATAAAGCCTTGAGTCGCCACTTTTATAAGTCAGACATACGCATAAGCAGAAAGAGGGCATCAACTGCCTGTTGATAATTAAGCTAGACTCTTATACTCTCATTATACCCTGACACTCTTATACTTGTATGACATTTTGTTTATGCAGCTTCTCAGTTGATAAGCAAATATATAGACCCATATATGAAAAAGCTTTGTAATAACCCGTGTTTAAATAAAAACAATTATTAGTTTCTTCCCAAATTATACTTCATTTATTCACGCGTCGTTCCGTGTCCTGAACACGATCGGTTCTCGCTCTAGCTTCCTTTATGTTGGCTACGACGTACTCGGTTGTAACAAACGTGAGTGTCAGCTTATGTTTATATGGGCACAAGACATTTGTCAGCACAGCTTTGTCTTCAGGCAGATCCAATGCTTTGGCGCCTTTTTCCGAATCAATTCCGAAGGGGCTGCTTCTGTGGTTCCATCTGGTACTATGTTATATATCAAGACGAAATTTTGTATCTCTTTTTTATAATCTTTCCCTTTCGACCACGCAATTCAGAGGCATTTTACCAATGCTCATATTTTCAATTTTGCTAATCGCGAATTGCCGACCGTTATCGGTTATGAGGTACGTTAAGAGTGTGTTTACCGATCGTCTATCGTGCTATACTGTTGCCGGTGCTCTACAAGCACATCAAACATCATCTTGAAAGCAAGGCAGAGGTATGTTTTATGCCTGTCAATGCACTGCTTGCACCGTTAATTAGTCATTGCATATTGGTTTTTTTTTTTTTTTTTTTTTTTTTAAATTGAATGCATTGTTATAATATATGGGTTCGCGAAATG